AAAAAAAAAAAAAAAAAGACCTCTGGAAAATATTAGAAAGCAAAAATGTTACTTTGAGCACTAAGAAGTACCAGATCTAAGCCATGGTATTTTCAATCACCTGATATATATCAAAGAAAAATGATGCATTTTAGTTATGGTGCTGGCAAAGAATATTGAATATATCATGGACTGTCAGAAGAACACACAAATCTGTCTTGGAAGAAGTACATCCAAAAAGCTCCTAGAAGGCAGAATGGCTAGCTAGCTTTTGTTTCAAACATGTTATCAGCAGGAACTAGTCCCTTCAGAAGGGCAGCATGCTTTGGAAAGGGTCCGTGAAAAGGAGGAACACCCTCAAGGAAATAGACTGACACAGTGGCCGCTACAACATAGGCTCAACCACAGCAGCAATCGTGAGCCCGGAACAGGACTGGACAGTGTTTCCTTGTTTGCATGGGGTCACTTAGCCAGAACCAACCCAAGAGACCCTAACAATAATATCAATAAGGCGCCCTGGTGGCCTAACAGTAAAGCAACTGACTACTAACGGAAAAGTGAGGTTGTAGAATGAAAACATGAGGACTCAACCCCAATGCCAGTGGTTCAAACTGACCAGCTGCTCCTTGGAAACCTATACAGGGTCGCTATCAGTCAGAACCCACTTAAAGGCACTTCACAATAGGTGATTCAAACCCACTAAGCAATGCCACAGAAGAAATGACTTGGTTATCTGACTCTTATAAAGATTGCTGTTGAAAAGTGCCGTCCAGTCCATTCCAAATCAGTGACCCTACATAGGGTTTTCAAGGAGCCTCTGGTGAGTTTGAATCGCCGACCATGTTGTTCAAAAGGACCATGCGGTCCAGTGTTTATCTTACAGGGTCATACCAGGATTTGTTGTTGTGAAGTGCCGTCGCATCGGTTCCGACCCATAGCGACCCTGTATAGGGTTTCCGAGGAGCAGCTGGTGAGCTTGAACTGCCGACCTTGCAGGTCAAACGGCTTTGCAGACTGGCGCATTAACCCACAGCACCACCCCAGGACTCCATTACAGCCTAGGAAATCCTATGGGACAGACAAGTTTAGCCCTTTATTATAGGGCTAGTAGGAGTCAGAGTCAAGCTCTGGTAGTATCGTGATTACAGATCGGACTGCGAACCTTAAGGTCAGCAGTTCAAAACTCCCAGCGGTTCCATGGGAGAAAGAAGAGGCTTTCTGCTCCCGTAAAGATTTACAGCCTCGGAAACCTTGTACAGGGTCACTATGAGACGGAACTGACTCCACGGCACATAACCACCACAGAAGTCAGAATCAACTACATGCAACAATAGAAGGTAGAACGTAAATTCACTAAAAAAAAAAAAAAAAAATCCAAACTTATTAAACTGACAAGAGACTAAAAGGGACGATCAGTGTATGATAGTCTTTTAATAAGAACGGAAGCCACTCCCTGGTGCGATCCAGTGAGG